GTCACAGTACGGGGAGAGCAATTAGGGTCATGTAACAATGTATGTATAAATTTTTATATGGGAAAAAAGAGAAAAAAAAAAAAAAACACATCAAATGATCTGATTTCTACAAGAAGTTCTCTAAAGACCCTTAAGATAGAGGACACAAAGTCTAGCATGGATAAGCACTAGCGGCAGGTCACAAAATATACAATCAGTCCTTAAAACCTGAGTATTGACCACTACCACTATGAGCAGATACAGCATCAAAGTTTGAGATACCAAAGGTCTATATACACTATATTCTGTTTCAAATTAGACAATTCTTTTAGTAGCAGTGGTTGCCAGAGGTTAGGAATGGTGATTGTGGTGAGGTGTGACTATAAGTGGGGGTAGCATAAGGGAGACCTTTGGGTGATGGAATAGCTCTGTACCTTAACTGAGATAATGATTACAGAATCCACAGACGTGGTAAAGTGACATAGAATTATACACACAGAATATCAATTTCTTGGTTTTTGATCTTGTTCTATAGCTATGCAAGATGTAACCATTGGGGGAAACCAGGTGACATGTACACAGATCTTCTCTGTACTACCTTTGCAACTTCCTGAGAATCTATAATTATTAAAAAACAAACAAACCAAAAAAAAAAAAAAAATCAACTAAAGGTCTCGTGACCATTAATTAAGAGCTGCTGATGTTTTTTGGATATAATCTCAACTCATTTGAGAGACCAGAAAATACAGAAGTAACACAGCATCTATGCTTCAGAAACTCAGGCTAGCTCTTAATACAGCCTACAGCTCCAATGAGGACGTAAAATCATTCCCAAAGCTGGTCCAGGCATTTGGTAATATGCCTCTAAACCCAAAGTAGTTCCTTTCTGACTGAAGGTAAGGTAGACATTTTGAAATTCAAACTTTTTTTTTCCTAGCAAAACGGGATTAGCAGCCAGTAATCTTCCCACAAAGTTATGATATAGTATTAACTACTGATAACTTTGACAAAATCTCAAAGAAAACTACTAAAGCATAACAAAATCACTTAAATGCAGATGTAAAAAAAAAAAAAATCCAAAAACGTTCATTAACATTGGCAGTAGTGTGGTATATGGGAAAGAACATTGACTTTGGAGTTGGAGGGATCTAAATTCCACTTTACCACTTTTGGAGCTTTGCGACAAATCTCTCAATTGTGTGAGAGCCTCAATTTTCACGCTGCCAAAAAGGAGATAATAATGCCTACTTCATAGGGTTGTTAAGAGGATTAAATGAGATAATATCCTAAGTACCTAGCACAGTGTCTGGCACATAGATGTTAATAAAGTTGTAATTTCTATTATTATAATAGTCAGGAGTTGTAGAAGTTAATAGGCTTGGTTTAAAGTGAGAGATACAATGTTGCCGTACCCAGAAATGTGGTCAGTGTCCAGTTTTTCAAATCTAGACGCAGAGGACAAGATCAATATCAGCATCTTACCCAGAGAGGTATTCCTGTTTTAACATTCAATACTAGCATGGTTTCTGAGACTTTAAAGTATTTGACCCCCAGCAGCACCTTTGCCTTGGCAATGCAAACTATAAATCTGAGCCAGTGTTGCTATGGGGGTCAAGAGAGTAAAAACAAAGCAATATTCCTTCCAACTGAGAATAGGAGCCAAAGGAGGTTGTATTTTCAAACAAATCTGATCAAAGACCTCTTGCCCTTGGCTATAAGGGCTGTTGTAACTAACACAGTAAGGTTTCTTAGCAACAGTTTATGTAGGGAGGTACAAGTGTGCCTCAATAAAAGCAAACTTAACATATGAAAATCCACATGTAAGAGATAAATTTAGAAGTGACTCTGCTTTACAGAAAGTTTTTTATTTGGTGTCTTAACATGTGATTAGATTGAAATAAATTCTATTATATGTGTACACACACACACACACACACACACACGCAGCGGCATAAGTCTAACACAAAATATTGCATAGGCCCTTGCTACTCAAAATACGGTGCATGCACCAGCAGCAGCATCAGAGAGCTTGTTAGAAATGCAGAATCTCAGGCCCCACCTTAAACCTCATTGACCAGAATGTGCACTTTAACAAGATCCCCAGAAGATTAATATGCACATTAAAATCTGAAAAGCACCATCCTAGGCAATATTCATGACACTAACGCCAGAAGCTCTACCAATATCCCTATTGCTGTTGAGTCAACTCCAATTCATAGTGACCCTGTAGGACAGAGTACAACTGCCCTATAGGGTTTCTGGGGCTATAAATCTTTATGGAAGAACACTGCCACATGCTTCTCCCTTGGTATGGCTGGTAGGTTCCAACAGATGATCTTTCAGCCAGCAGCCGAGTGCCTTAACCTCTGTGCCACCAGGGCTCCTCTCTAAATATTCGTATTTAATATTAAACATTTTTATCCCATTGCTGTCAAGTCAATTCCAATTCGCAACAGCCCTCTAGGACAGAGTAGAACCGCCCCATAGGGTTTCCAAGGAGTGGCTGGTGGATTTGAACTGCCAACTTTTTGGTTAGCAGCCGAGCTCTTAAGCACTGTACTACCCGGGCTCCTAAACATTTTTAAAGACTCCAGAATTAATATGAATATTAAATAATAATAGTTATCTACCAGGGCTTCTACCAGCATTCTCAATCCTTATTCCTTACAACACATTAGAATCACCTCAACCATCTGGGTAGGCTTTAAATTGTCCCCTTTTTTAAAAATACTTACGTCTGGACCCTATGCCAAGATTTGGATTTAATTGGTCTGGGGTGGGTCCCTGGCATTAGCATTTTTTTTAAAGATCCTTAGGTGACTGAAGTGCAACTATTGTTGAGAACCACTGCTACAGACCAAGAACAGCAAATTAATATAAAGCAGCCTCACCAACAGTTAAGATTTTAAATGTATCATCAGGAGAAAACATTAAAACTAGAAAGAGAGGTTAAGATATGGCTGATATAAATCTTGCACGAAACAATATTATATCAAGGTTGTTCTTTTTTGTCGTCTTCTTTTTTGTTCAGTCACTTAGAACCTTGGCTAGGAACCAATTACACCAAAATAGATTTTCCCTGGGCTAGCTCTAGGAAACTGTTTCTGAAGCCCCTCAAATATATTTCCTTCCCTGATTTGTTCAACTATAAAATTTCAAAGAAGGAGCTGGAGAAGACGACGCTGGAGGTAGAAGGGGTTGGTAGCAGGGAGAAAATAATCAAGAGAATGCAGATTTGGAAAGGCCAGTGCAGTGGGAATAAAAGACCAAGAGATAGAACTGATAGTATGTTCTAGTCAGGAGTACAGGGTAAGATGTGGGAGTACGTTGTTAGAGCAGAGTAGAGGTGACAGAGTACCAGAGGGTAAGATTGTGAGGCTAGGTTCTTCCTGAGGGTGCTGAAATTACTGTGGATAACCAAAGGAGAGGGGTTAGAGAGGAAGACTGAGATAAGCCAGGTGCCAAGTTCTTGGTGAACAAGGAAGAGTGGCCTAGTCAAGGTCACCCACTAATCACTGGGTGGTAGAGGTATGACCAGAAGCCGGGTTTCCTGATGACCAGGGCTCTTTCCAACACCCTTTTGTGAATGAAACATTCAGTGTGGCCTGATGTCAGAATACTCTCTGTCTAATGATTGTGCTGCCTCTAACATGACTCAGCATAGATCTTACAGGGCACAACCCCTGAGGGAGACACTAGAACCCAACTCTCCTTTACCGTGCCTCCTTCCTCTGTAGGCAAGCATTTACTCAGCACTTACTCTATCCTCACTATGCTGAAACATTGTAGGGGCAGAAAAAGTGGTAAAAGCCCTAAGGATTTAGTCCCAATCTGCAAAGGAAATCTCCAATCAAAATGTCCAACAACTGCTAATTCTGGAGTCTTTAAAAATGTTTAGGAGCCCTGGTATTACAGTGCTTAAGAGCTCGGCTGCTAACCAAAAGGTTGGCAGTTCAAATCCACCAGCCACTCCTTGGAAACCCTAGGGGGCAGTTCTACTCTGTCCTGTAGGGCTGTTATGAGTTGGAATTGACTTGACAGCAATGGGATAAAAATGTTTAATATTAAATAACAAATATGTATCCCCTGGAAAAATATTTCTGTCAGTCTGGAGAAATGCCAGAAATAAATGAAACAGGTCTAGTTTTTTGTTCAGTCACTTAGAACCTTAGCTAGGAATCAATAATGGAACATAAGTATGACATACCAGGTTAGTTGACTAATCATTATAGCAACCATATATTCCAGATTTTCTTAGACAATACGAGTTTTAAATATTTTATCACATTATCTCCAAAAATCCACATTTCAAAAATCCTAGTATTTTGATATTCAAACTACATCTTCTTACACTTGGAAGTGGCACAAAAATTATTTGCCATATTACATAGCCCAATTTTATGTTTGGAAAGTATTAACAAATAGAATTATGAATTACAGATTCATCACATTTAAGGTAGAGTTTAGTCACCCTATTTTTATCCTCTAGTTTTGGAACAAATAATATTGTAAAATGGAAGAAATACTAAATGTAGTAGTCCAGATTTTCAATATTGATGCAACGTCTCAAAATGCTTTTAAAATGGAATAGACTGGTACTGGAGTATGCAACTGATAGTCTTCCTCCTCAATCCATATTTCAAATAGTTGATGCAGTCTGAGCAAAATAAACAAAAATGCTGCACGCAACCTCCCTCTCCTCATGGTGATAGCATAAATATTTTCCCCTTTGAACAAAATCAGCAATAGGTATTCTTCCCTGAGTTGAATTCAGTTCTCACACCAGAAAACAAAAGCCAACAGATAATGCATATCCTTTTCTAGATTCCTTATAAAATACATTATCCACCAACTATTATTATCATGAGGATCATATTTGGCCTCGTTTGAAACCTCTAAAAGTTTTCTTGGGTAGACTTTGTCTGAAAAGTACTATTAGTAATAGACATAAACAGCCCTATACACTGTTGAAAATCAAACTGTGTTAAAACAAAACATATCAACTGTATATGGCTTAATACCTCAGAAGTCTTCTTATTCTGTCTTCTCCCAAAAATACAATCAAGATCTGTTTTGCTCTGAGAGGATAAATCCTTCCCTAAAAAAAAAAACATAATACCTTTCAGTAATAACATTCTTCTAAAAATAAAGAACACAAATATAAACTATAAAACTCCTGAAAGGCAAATGGTTCTTGGAAAAGAAACAATTTGTAAATTACTGACTTTCAGCCAGCTCCTCTTTCACAGATTGTTGGTGGTGGTGGGTGCCATCATTTCCAACTCATAGCAACCCCATGTGACAGAGTAGAACTGCTCCATCGGGCTTTCTTGGCTGTAATCTTAACTGAAACAGATTGCCAGGTCTTTCTCCCTTGGAGCCACTGGGTGAGCTCAAAGCACAAACCTTTTGGTTAGCAGCCAAGTTACTTAAGTGTTTGTGCTACCAGGGCTCCTCGCAACTTAATACATATATTATTCATTATTTTTAATTAATAAATAAAATTGAATTTAAAATCATTTAAAAATCAAATAAGTATTTTAGAATCAAGGTCCTTGGCATTCTCTCTTAATTGTAGAAACCACTTAGAACATGTAGACTGACAGGAAAACTAAGTTCTAAAGATGGCTCTACTACTGGTATGCCTTCAAGGCGTGATTTCTGGGTCTCTGTGTTCCCCACTTACAAAACAGATCATATTCCCTTTCAAGAGACATGGGCTACTTACTCAGATTGTAAAATAAACTGAATAAAATAAATTCTGCTAGATGTATAGCTTCAAAACCCCACATATACGCACATGAACGAGGACATACCATACCTGACACATAGGAGCTCATTAACTGAATGAGTGAAAATTTAAAGATAACAAATGCAAATAAAATTAACTGTATAAGGGTGAAGGGATTTCAAATTTTTCTTTTTAAAACTTTCTTTACTATTATAGCTATATCACCTCAAAATAAAAGAATATGTAATGAGAACATGAAATTAAATGGCTTCTGATAAAAATAATGTCCAAAGGATAAAAACAACCTAAATTCTTTAACCTTAATTTCAAACTCACAAACCAACTAATTTAAAATTTACTTCTTTGAAATTTCTACTTCTACCTATAACACTCTGTGAGCAGTTAGCCAAATCTATTCCCATTTGTCATCTTCACTGTAAAATGAATTTAAAATGTAGCTATTATGTATAAAGTCTTAGGGTCTAGGGGAGCGAGGCACGAGGTTAGACACGGGCATTTTTGTTTTGCGTTGGTAGCTCAAGTTCCACCTGTCACTGACTCACTTGTCTTCTTGGTTTCCTGTAGCAGACTGACTTGGCAAAGTAATATCATGACCCTGAAGGTTCTAGTTCACTATCATTGGGTCATTCAAATATGATATTGCTCAGTGACTCCATGAAATTAAAAAACAAAACACCCTTCGATTTAATTCTAAACCAGTTGTCAAAACCAGTTACAAAGGCAGCAGTACCAGATTAAATGATCCACTCAGTACACTCTGTTCCTATTAGGAAGGGAGTGCTCCTTTGGGGCACTACAGGCTGCTCGCTCTCTCTCTTTTTTTTTTTTTACCTCAGTTAGAAACAAAGACTTCACTGGTTCTATTTTACTATTAAGTAGGACTCATTAAAAAAAGACCCAAGAGGAAACCTACTTAAGAACAAAATAAAGTTTATCATAGACAGAAACTCAGAAAACGAACCAGAAAAGTGGGAATAAAATTTGTCATGGTGGGGAGAAATGGACCAACACTCAGGAGGTCTAAAGTCATCAACAGTTTTGTCATCAATATAACTCATTTTCCACTGCAAGGCATGTTAAGAGTGGCTATTTCTATTTCATAAAAAGGAGCTGTACTTAGTTCAAAATATGTATTGGCCATCTATCCTGAATCAAGATTCTGGAATGGAAGAAATACCCTAAAAGAAATGCAAATATAGACATATTTTACAGTTAGTCAACTAAAAGGACTGCTGGAGGGATTAAGGAAAAGAATACATGGGAGGTCACAATTCTAAAACAGTAGTCAAAATATGAACATACTGAGATTAAAAGCAAATCTAAAAATCAAAGGGAAAACTGCCAAGCTGGTAGAGACAGGAAGCTGTACCAATGACGGTGCAAATGTTTCTAAAGTTTTGGTGATGAGTTCTTGTATCAGAAATTTCTATCCTTTAGCAAAGTTCACTTAAGCAAATGTAGAAACCAGCATTGCTACAGGCTTTGCATTGGACTTGATCTGGAACACAAGAACACAGAGACGAAATAAGAGTCAGAGACTAACGGACAGAAGCTTAAAGGTAGATCAAAATGTGAAGATGGAAGCAATTTGGAAATACGTATTTGTTAATTGTCCTGGCCTAATAATTTATAAATATTATAAAGTCATGGTCACTTCTGAATAAAATATACATATTAAAAATGAGTTTAGGAGATTATTGGTTTCAGTTATGAATGATGGTCAAATCAGAGCAAATACTGCTGATGAACTAAAATGACAATAAAAAATAGAATAGGAAATACATGTTATCAATCTGGATTTGATTCATCTATCTATTGGTCTTCAACTGGCCAGAGCACTTTTGAGAACCAAGAAAAAAAGGCTTCCAGTACCCAAACTGATATAACAAAGTCCAAGAAAGGTGAAGCAGATATTTTCACAGAAGAATCCTTCATTTATAACTATTTTAGACGTGTTTCTAATCATGAAGGCACCCTGGTGGCACAGTGGTTAAGCGCTTGCCTTCTAACCGAAAGGTCAGCAGTTTAAACCTACCCGCTGCTCCACTGGAGAAAGATGTGGCAGTCTGCTTCCATAAAGATTACAGCCTTGGGAACCCTATGGGGCAGTTCTACTCTGTCCCATAGGGTCGCTATGAGTCGAAATCGACTCAACAGCAACAGGTTTGGTTATTTTTTTCTAATTATCATGATTATCAAGTTTTCCAGTCTACCAGAGTAGAAAATTGAAAGGGAGGAATGTTATTTCTAGAGTTAGACACACAATACAAAGAAGTCCAAAAGGGAAGCAACTGAAACTATAAAAAATAGACATAAGGACTAAAGAATCATGGTGATTTGGAGCCACTTAGTTTAAGGGCAAAAAAACCATATATCACCTAACAAGTTCTAAGGAGAAAACTCTATTATAAACTATTATTATAACTGAGGCTCACACACACACACACACACACACACACACACACACACACATACACACACACACACAATCTGTGGGAAATTAGAGTTTATCTATTCAAATTAAAGGAGTAAGGGCAAAGAAATACAGGTTTTAGAAATGTATTTGTAAAAAAAAAAAAATGTTTAAGATTTATGTAGGTAGCTTCAATGCCTAGAAAATTAATCTGCATTCCTCAATCAAGAAGGATAAATAAAACAATATTATACTTCGACTTTTTTTTTTTTTTTTTAGTGAAAACAAATGGGACTGATAATAAGCCTAGGGCAAACATAATGACAAATTCATTACAATGATAATGTTACAAAACCTGAAAAAATCAGAGTATAGTGCTAAATAAGTGAGACCCTAAACCTGTTGCCTTCGAGTTGATTTCCAACTCATAACGACCCTACAGGACAGAGTAGAATTGCCTCACAGAGTTTCAAAGGTTGTAAATCTTTACAGAAGTAGACTGCCACGTCTTTCTCCTGTGGAGGGGCTGTTGAGTTCGAAAGGACGACCTTTTGGTTAGCAGCTGAGTGCTTTAACCACTAAGCCAACCTAGTCACCAATAACAAGACAATCTGAATTTTAAAAAAGCCTGTGATGGTACTTCTTTACACTGCAATGCTAAAAAAAGGAGACCCTGGGCAGCATAAACGGTTAAGCACTCAACTACTAGCTGAAAGGTTGGCAGTTTGGACCTACACAGAGTGCCTTGGAAGAAAGGCCTGGTGATCTGCTTCCAAAAGGTCATAGCCATAAAAACTCTATGGAGCATAGTTCTACTCTGATACACATTGGGTAGCCATGAGTCAGAATCAACGTAACGGCAATGGGTAAATGCCAGAAGGATCAGAAGAAGAAACTTAATGCTCCTCTAACACCCACTACCAGAATCCAACTGTGGAAAGGAGTTCACTATGCTATGAATACTACAATTCTGTATTTCTAGACTTGTAAGCTAACTATGTGAAACATGTGTTTTGCATGTAGCTTCCTTGTTTAAGAAGTAAAATATTATAAATTGTCACAGGAATAAGAAATCTGGGTAAATTACTATGATGAAGTTGCACAACTACAACTTACGTAACTTTTCACCTATCCATTGCACAACTGGGAAAAAAAAACAATAATCTCTTGCCAACGTCTCACTTATACCTAAAAAACTTCAAAATGGTTTTGTGTAAATATTTTCTCTATATTTTTCTTCTCTGCAGATATACCTCATCGAACATTTTTCAAATGAAAAGAAACCACGTTAGAGTTGGGCTTTTAAATGAATATGGATGAAAAAAAAATTTTAAACTGTATGAAAAATTATTTCAAATTAAAATGATATTTGGGACGAGAGAAAAGAATAATTATGACCTACAATGATGCAGTCAATATTTAGGCAGTAGTAAATTTTACAATGTGATTAACGGTATTTGCTACTGTAGTCTCACTAAAGTAAAATGGATATTTTTATCTTTACTCATCACCAAGTTGTATAAAATGCCATCTTTCTATGTTTTAGTTTCCTAAAACATAGAAGGAGTTACAATATGAATCATTCTCATCAACTAAGTGAATTAGTTAATTTCATTTAAATGTTATGAGCCTACCCATGGGCTAAAATCCTTATTATCCATAATGTTGAAAAGTCAAAAGTTCCATGAAAGGGCCACTTCTGATCAATCATAAAACAGAATCTATTTTAGAACTAAGTAGGGACTTATTTTTTCCTCATTTTACAAAAGAGGAAACTGAGTCCGAAAGAAGTTACATGACTAATAAATCATTTGTCTGAGGTCACGTAGCTGTTAATGAGAGTGATGACCAGAAATCAAGTTTCCTGTGATCTAAAATAGTCTATCTTAGAAGAAACTTAGAACTTGTCATTCATATCCAATGATAATACCTGCTCTAAAAGAAAATATTCCTTTTAATAATAAACGAATTTTAAATAAAATAAATATTTACTGTGGATTGTAAAGATGGAAGGTAAATATTTTCTTCACTACTCAGATTTTTGTCTTTCCCTCATTTTTTTCTATTTATTTTCAATTTCTGACAATATATCTTTACACTTTCTTCTCTGCATCCTCCCCATCTTCCCCAAACAAGGCTAATAAATAAGCAAACCTAATGGAAAGGAGACAAAATGAAGGCACAACACACCAAGCAGTTTGACAGGGTCACTCAACAAGGAATGGCTTAACTAGAAATAGAAAGCAGATACTCTAAGCATCTATTAGATCAAATGCTTCAGATGAAATCATGCTTGGAGTCAGATACTAAAGGAAAATTAGAAGATTGTATTTGCAAAAGTGAAAGTGTAAAAGGCTGCCTTACCAAAAGTTATAGGCCACTCTTAATTTGCTCCTCCACCCCCCAATTATCTCTCTTTTTTTCTACAAGGTCTAACCAAAAAAATGAGGGATGTTTGAGGCAATGGGTGTAAAATGACTATTTACTGTCTCCTCAAAACGGAGGACTTGTTGGACTAAGGGGCCAACAAGGACTGTTTTCTGTTCTGCAGCAGGCTAGCATAGAGAGAAACCCTGGTCCTAAGCCATATACCATAATGAAAAAGGAAGTTCTACTCTAAGAGAAGGAAGAGGATGACATGAAAGAGCCATATAAAACACACCTGTTGAGAAAGGGAAGAGGGAAAATATCAATCTGCCCTTCTTGCATACACTCCAGAAGCTATTCAGATTCTGAATCCATTCAGCTCTGCCATTGCCTCTCACTTAAACCAAACCCAGACCTGCCTTATTGGAGTCCTGGCCCAAAATCATGAAAACCACCATCAGTAGTTTAGAGTAAAAGGAGGTCCAGCTCCCACTACTATTCAAATGGGTACTAGGAGTCTGGGAATCCTCCGTCAAGTTAACAAGATGTGTTACGAGATGTGTTTTTCCTGGAATGTGAGGTAAAAATGTATATCCAATCTCCCACAAAAAAACCATCTATGATGATTAGGTATCACAGCATACTTATCATAATATTACACTTTAAATATGTTATGTAATAAATAAGCTTCTGTGGATGGAAAGTACACTTAATTCATGATGCTTTCCTATGGAAAATATTTCAGGAATTGATTAGGTTGTTTCTTCCTTACCAATGCAAGACCACCACCTAGTGGTCAAAAAGAACAACTGCACTCACAAATGGCTATATATTGCGAAGAAACCAAAAACCCATTTCCGTTGAGTCGATTCTAACTCATAGCAACCCTATAGAACAGAGTAGAACTGCCCCATAGAGTTTACATTAGGAAGAAGGGGGGGGGGGGAATAAAGATTGAATTTACCACCCAGTTCTCAAACATGTTTTCTAACACTATCTTGGCAATAACCATGGAACACCTTTAATACTCCATGAAATGGAGAAATTGTGTGGATAATATAAGAGCCAACCCAGTAGTGATAACTATCATATTGGAGACCTTAATGTAGAGTATAATTCTCTAAACTGGTAGATGAGGACCTATTCAACATCAATATTGAGCTATGAATAATGGGAACGCAAATAAAAATGTTGAGCAATTTTTTTCCTAATTATTTTCTTACCTAGCTACCTAGGACTTCATAGTCCCTTTCCCTCCCCCTCAAAATAGCAAGTTGACTTCCATTTTCAGCTTTGCCATAGGACTTGTATGCAGTCTAAAACCTAATCGAATTTTAACAAGATCCCCAGGTGATTCACAATAAATTTTAGAAATTCAGCACTGCTTTAGATCAATCCAGTCTGGCTGTGCATAAAATGAGAAGTTGCTACTAATTAAGGGCTAAAAATGCTTTCAGAAACTCAGTATGAACATATATATTTCAACAACAAATAAATAAATGCTAAATCTTACCTTTCATAAATTTCCTATAATGAACACGGTTTTTTGAAATTTTGGACTTTTCTTCTAGGTTAAAAGATTTCTTCTCTTTGTTGTCTGAGGAGTCTAAACAAAGATGAAAAGTATTACATTAAACTCTATGAAACCCATTCTCAATTATTCTCTTACAGTGACACAGTCTTATTTAAATAAAAAGTTTAGGAGACTCATCACTTATTGATCTCTAATCAAATAATATTTTTCTTAAAATGTGCACTATGGATCAGACAAGGCTATCTTCCAGAAATATATAAAATCCTTGAGAAAGAGAAATAAAAGCTTGTGTTCACACAAAAATCTGTACATGAATGTTCATAGCAGCTTTATTCGTAATAGCAAAATACTAGAAACAATCCAAATGTCCTTCAATGGATAAAGGGATGAACAAACGCTGATGTATCTATACAAAGGAATAGTACTCTGCAATAAGAAGGGATGGATTATGATACATGCAACCATCTTGAGGGACCTCAAAGGCATTATGCTTAGTAGGAAAAAAAAAGTCAACCTGAAAAGGTTACATACTATATAAGTCCACTTACATAACATTCTTAAAATGACAAAATCATAGCAATGGAGAACAGATTAATGGATTCTAGGGGGACAAGAGTGGGGTATTGGGAGGTAGAGGGGTGTAAAAACCAAAAAAAATGAAACCCGTTGCTATCGAGTCAATTCTGACTCATAGTGACCTATAGGACAGAATAGAACTGCCCCATAGGGTTTCCAAGAGGTGGCTGGTGGATTCAAACTGCTGATCTTTTGGTTAGCAGCCAACTTCTTAGCCACTGTGCTACCAGGGCTCCGGGGGGTGTAAGGTGGGTGTGAATACAAAGGGAATAGTATGAGGCAGTTCTTTCGTGGTGATGGAACAATTCTGTAGCTTGATGATGGTGGTGATTACATGAATCTACACATGTGATAACACGGAATAGAACAATACAGATACATACACACGAATGAAGGTTAAAAAAATGGTGAGTAAGATCTGTAACCTAGTTAACAGTAATATACTGCTGTTGTTAGCTGCCATGGAGTTGGTGCCAACTCGTGGTGACTTTATGTATAACAGAATGGAATGTTGCCTGGTCCTGTGTCATCCTCAAAACTGTTGGAATGTTTGAGCCCACTGTTGCAGCTATTTTATCAGTCCATCTCATGGAGGGTTTCCCTTGCTTTCGCTGACCCTCTGCTTTACCAACCATGATGTCCTTTGCTAGCAATTGATCTTTCCTGATGACTTGTCCAAAGTAAGCAAGACAAAGTCTCGCCATCCTCGCTTCTAAGGAGCATTCTGGCATACTTCCTCCAAAACTGATAACAGAAATATACCAATGTCAATTTCTTGGTTTGGATAGTATGTAAGATGTCCATGTAAGATGTCACCATTGAGGGAAGCTGAGTGAAGGGCACTGTCTTAGGCTGAGTTCTCTAGAGAAGCAAAACCAGTGAAGTGTATATATAAACATATAGAGAGAGATGTATCTCAAGGAAATGGCTCATGCGGCTGGGGAGGCTGGCAAGTCCCAAATCGGTGGGTCAAGCATCAGGCTAGAGGTTTCTCCTGATTCACGTGGTTGCAGGGGCTGATGAACCCAAGACTGGCAGGTCAGATGACAGGCTGCTTGGTCCATGGGGCTGTGGAAGCTGATGAATCCCAGAATCGGCAGTCAGATGGGAGACTGCTGGCTCACAGGACTGCAGAAGCCAATGATCCCAAGATCTCCAGGTCAGGTGGAAGGCTGCTGGCTCATGTCCCATGAACCAGAGGTCAGAGGATGACAAGTCAGATGTAGGACCCAGAGCAAGCAAGTAAGCTTTGCCAGAACGTCCATATGTATGTTGGATGCAGGTCACACCCCCAAGGAAACTCCCATTACCAATGATTGGCTGATCACGTCATGGAGGATGACTACATCATTACATAACTGCCAATCCACTGAGAATCATGGCCTAGCCAAGTTGACAATCTTAACCATCACAGGTACTTAGGACTCTGTATTATTTTTGCAACTTCCTATAATTCTAAAATCTTTTCAAAACAAGAAGTTTTTTTTAAGTGAATAATTAAAAAAAAAAAAAAACTGTTGCCATGGAGTCAATTCTGACTCAGATAGATTAAACAATAAACAAAAAACTGATTAGAGATGATCATCAGGTAGAGTGCGCAGGAGCAGAGCTGGCACTGAGCAATTGCTGCAAACACCAGTTTTCATGGGAGGCTTACTTATAAAGGTCAGCAAAAACAACAGCAAAATGAAATCATGGAAAAATAAATTCATGTGGTTATTCCTTTGACAAAAGAGGAAAATATGAGTCAGAAACTATTTACTTGCCTGAAATATCAGAGCAAGTAGATACCGGGTTAGAGCCAATTATAGGATATTAATTAGCTGTGTGTATTCCCTCACATTTATCTGTTTTTCTGTTTTTCAAGTTTAGATAGCACAGTATCACAGAAAAGAAAATAATAGGTAGAAAAAGACTGAATTTTCCTATAGCTATGTTATAAGGAAATTCAGATATAAGGTTAGAGAAAGGAAAATTTCCCTTTAGCACTGGAGCAAAACAAACAAATGCCCATTGAGCAACATGTTGTTATTGTCAGGTGTGATTGAGTCAAATTAACTATAATCTCTTCCAGGAGTAGATTATTTTATTTCAAAAGCAAAATGTGAATTATGTAATAAGGCACTGAACAATATAAAGACAGCCGTTTCAAGCTTTCAGAAACTGCCTAGTATGGCTTAATTATATCAACAATCTGAAACAGTCTCCTCTGCAGCCACTTCCCAGGAGTAGCTTGGACTTTTTTTTTTTTATATTTTATTGTATTTCAGGTGAAGGCTTGCAGAACAAATAGTTTCTCACGAAACAGTAGTACACATGTTGTTTTATGACATTGGTTAACAACCCCACAAGATATTAACCCTCTAACTTATCAATATTTTTTTTTTTTTGGTGAAAATACACATAGCCAAAGATACACCATTTCAGAAATTTCTACATACACAGTTCAGTGATATTGACTATGCTCTTCCAATTGTGCTGTTATTCTCACTTAAGATGAAGGCTTACAAAACGAAATAGTTTCTCATTTAACAGTTACTACAAATGTTACCCTATAACAATGGTTAACAATCTCATAACACATCAACAATATCCTTACTCAACCTTGGGTTCCCTATCACCAGCTTCCTTGTCCAGTTCTGCCTTCTGGCCCTTGTCACTGGACCCCGGTACCTCGTTAGTCTCATTTGGTTTTACGGGGCTGTCCACTCCCGGGCTGAACGGTGAACCTCGGAGGTAACTTCACCACTGAGCTAAAAGGGTGTCTGGGGGCCA